AATATACATACATTTAAAAATCTGGAAACAACTTAAACACTAGAACAATTCATAGTTAAAACTGCTATTAAAAAGTAAAAAAGTAAAAAGTAAAAGTAATTTACTTAAATTTAGTAACATAGATAAGTATAATATAAGTTTAGTAATATAAAATTAATTGATAATAGCAGTAAACAAAAATAGAAATGCAGTATGGCAACATTGAGTAACATAACACACGGACATTTCTTACTTTTGTATGATTACAATGGTTGGGATGAGGACGGCACATTTATTAGTCACATGATTGGTTGCACTGAATCCGTTTTTTTATTTTTGAAAGGATAATATAAATTATAAATATATAGAACAGACACAGATATAAAATTTTATATTTATATTTATATTTATATTTTATATTTATTTTATATCTGTGCGTGAAACTCATAAAATGTTTCGGAGATACCGTGGTCTGTGTCGATCAATACCATAGATATTAAAGGTCTTTAATATTATCTATGATCAATACAAAATGCTATATATTTTAAGGGGTATTTTGTATAGGCAACCACTTATAAAGGGATTTATCGCTATGTCGGTAGGCGGAAAAAAAGCCCACGGAAAAGAAGCCCAAAAAAATAAATACACCAAGGAAAAAAACCCAGGAATATAAATATAGATGTGAACACATGTATACTGTACTCCTAATTAGTAATGACCATGTAAATATAGGCTATAACAAAATATAATAATATATTACCTATATATTATTATGAAAATAATAATTAATTTTTAATTGTATAAAATATAGATTGTAAATAAAAAAAAGGGTGCTCTGCCGTACAGTGGGTAACAAGTGGGTCACTGTATAATGGGTGGTATTAAATTTGAATTCAATGATATAATATCATTGTATAAGAAAAACAATTCTGAGGCGGTACCTATGTCTGTCTAGGTATAAGGCATATTATATAGGTACCTACTTATCTTTTCTTTGTTAAAAAAAATTTACTTATAATAGGTAGGGGAGAGTGGGGCAGATTTGAATGCGGGGTACATTTGAATTTGTCTAATATAATTTGTTACAGATTATTTACATTCATAAAAATAATAATCTAAGTTGGTGACAAAGTGTCTTCACTGGAAGGCTTCTTAAATCCGTCCTTTCCTCAAGCCACTTATTCATTAAATTATCTATTTTACTTATTGTTCATATTTTTATTGTAACAGATTGTAAATAAAAATTATAAAAATAAAAAAAAAAAAAAAAAAAAAGTTGGTGACAATATTTTGTATACCATATGTGATAATCAGGCATTTTTGAATAATTTTGTGATAAATAAAAATGATAATGTGATTTTCCGGCTTTTTTTAAAAAAAAATAGGTGTTTCCATAAGAACATTTTGGAAACTAAAATTCAAAATAATAAGTTTAGAATTAAATATACCTATTCAAAATATTGTTGCCTAGTAATACATTTAATGTACATACATTATTTATAATTATTAAAATTTATATTACGATTATTATTGATTATTTTGGCATGGGGTAGATTTGAATCTTCATTAATAGGGTGTAATAAAGTTTCCTCCTTTTTGAAATATCTATCTTATGGATGGAATATACTAGTTAACTGGATTTATGTCACAAGATGTGGATTTATCTATAAGAAAACTCAAAAATACTACATTTTCACAATAAAAAAAAAATTGACAAGAAAACATCTAAACATAATTGTAAAAAATTGTTATTATATTATATTGAGCTATTTTTATTATTAAAATAAATAAAAAGTTTAATTTAATTTAATATTTAACATTCAAATGTGGCTTTTAAGACACATATTCAAATCTACCCCCTGCACGTTCAAATGTACCCCATGGGTGGGGTACATTTGAATAAAAATATACTTCACTTCATAATTAGAAATTAAATTGGTTATTTAATATATAAGGTTGTTATAAGTCAAATAGTATTCACAACTATCTAGACTACAGATTGTAATTATCAAATATAAAATTTGTCAAAAAATTAAAAATTAAAATAATAAAATGTAAATTTCATTCAAATCTGCCCCACTCTCCCCTACCTATAATAAATCCCAAATTAATCCTATCACTATATACATTAGGTACTTATAACGCGTTATACATCAACAACAAACCCTGATACTATCATAGATATATAATAGTGTACTTTAGAAGTTTCAAGTACCCACAAATAATATTATACAATCACAACAAAATAACTAAAATAGTTATTCTACGTTTTTTTTATGTGATTTCGTCCAAATTTGAACTTAAAATGACTATAAAAATAAACTGTGTTAGATATAAAAGTTGAACATTTTATAAATTTTTATCTAAAAAAATAATTATTCAATTTTAAATTTGATAAATTTCGTCAAAATTCGATCTTTAAATACTTATAAAATAGTGACTATGTATTTTCAATATTTTTCAACTGATATATCCAAATATTCATAAGCCTTTTGAAATTTAATTTAATTTTTATTGTTCGGTACTTACCAATATAATTTATATAATATATATTATATAAACACTATATTATAACCATTCAAAATGTTAAAATGTATCAATAGCTGGGTAATATTTACACTCCATTAGTACTTCATTACTTGGTTGTTGAGATACTATCTACACGTCCTACTAGTACAGTTTTATCCAGTTATAAATTTGTTTTATATTTATACTTTTGTTTTATCAATTTTTATGACTATAGAGATTATAAAATCAAATAAAGGTGGTGAGTGGTGACAAATTATGTTACAAAGGTTATGTATATGTTGTAAAGTATATTGGAATATCAAAAATATGTGGCCTTTTTTTCCGCGATTCCGCTATGTCAATGTGTCAGCCATAAACCATAAACTCTGCATTACCTTTGCCGTGATCGATGAATGCAGAGGCATGACAAAAAATAGTATGAGTGGCTAGTGCGGGAAGGATATTTCAATCTTCGGCGAAATGCAGTCCTCGCCTGCGGCTGTGCCGCACACCTCACCCGCGACTGGACTGAAATAGCTCACTTTCCGCCCTTGCCACACAATATACTATTTTGTCACGCCTGCACCGAAAGTTTGGTTTTAGATAACAGTTGAAGCGTTGGAAAGCGTCTTTTTTCCGTCCAGCAGGTGGTGAAGTGGAAATCCCTAATAGTGCTGGGTTGTAAACTGGAAATCCTCAAAAGCACTGCACACACATTTCACGCGCGTATACCCCTCACAAACATGACACTGAAATCTATACCACGGTCGTCGGTCCTTCAAAACGAAAACTTTTGGTTTCATCTTATAATCATATTATAACCTCCATGTGTGACGCCTAAAATAAAGAAAACCAAATCATTTCTATCATGAAATATTGTTGTCGTCTAAATGTATAATATTATAGTATACTTTCTGCATAGACCCCTACATTACCTCTGTAGTGATTGATGAATGCAGAGACGTGACAAAAAATAGTATGTGTGGCTCGTGCGGGAAGGCAATATCAGATTTGTGCGAAATGCGGTATATGTCGCCCGCGACTGAAGTAACTCACTTCCCGCCCTTGCCACACAATATACTATTTCAGAAATTCGTATTCATATTATAATTTATAATGCTTTACTCCTATACATATCTGGTATTGGGATGTCGTATCCATTCTTTATTATCTATATAGTACTGACTATGTATATAAATTATAATGTGAATATACTCGCATTAACCAAACATGCGCTATATCGCTCTCACCACAAATTTTTCTATTAATAATGAATTTTGGAATTTCTGAATAAACTTACAAACTATTTTATCAATTTCTAGAGATATTTTGTACTACTTAAGAAGTGTCCCGTGGTGTAACAAAAGTGTGTTTTTCAAATAATAATCCCCATTTTTTTACTGTATATTATTTAGTAGTTAATTTATTTGAAAAGAGTCATGTAGAATAGGTACCTTACTAGGTAGTTTCTCAGTTTTTAAAATGTTTATACTAAGAATAAAAGTTCATAAACATTTTTTTACAATTTACCTACTAAAATATAAAATAGATATTTTAATATTGAATCTACTATTTATTTATTACACTTGAACCATTTTTAAAAATTATAAATGTTGAAGGATTAATATTAATTAGTAAAATTTTCAATTAGGTTTAGGTATACTATATTTTCAAAATCCCCATCTCTGCTATATTATATCTTCTGACTTCCAAACCCATTATTGTGGACCTAATCCTTAATACACAAAGTTAAATGACTCAAAAACCACTTGTTAAATTTTGAGTATTTCGGTAAGTTTTAACTTAAACAATAAACCTTGAAGGCTTTAACCTAACTTTCTTCTTAACTTGTATTCGACTAAAATAATTTCGAGTTTTAATCGTCCTTGTGGCTTGTGGTAATGACGGCCAGACGGCATGAAGCCAATAGAATTTATTTATATACTTTTAAAATAATTAATTATTACACATTACAAAGGCGCAATCTTCTATACGGGTTTAATCATATAACATAGTATTTCAAATATTTCAATGTACAGCGCCCCCAAAAGCTAATTAAATGCAACCCAAAATACAACATTACTTACTTATCACAGATTATCTGATTATAGATCATAGTACGGAAAACCATATTATGCCTAATTACCATATTATGATAATTGATAATAATAATTCTAGTTCTGATTCATAGTTCTGGTACCTATTTTGTTTATAGTATATATTATACTTGTCTATGAGTGGTACCTATATAGTACTACCTACCAATAATTTCTTACGCTATTGTACAAATATAAAATACTCTAAATGTATGTGTACAAACACATTTTTATCTTAAATAAAAACAATATTATTAAGCACCAAATAAAATGTTAATTTATAATTCTTTGAATAGCACCAAACAAGTAACATGTAACAACAGTAATAAAAAATAATACATAAAATATATAATATGAGTTTTTGATTATCAAATTTGAACAACAATTAAGATATTGGCGGATGTAATATATGTAATCTTATGCAAGTTTTTCCTTGGGTTCAATCTTGGTGGTCAAATATTTGTAGACTTGAGGCCAAATTTCATTGGTAGTTTTTCCTGAGAATTTTGCTAAAACATTTTGCTCGGCATAATATTCTAAAATAGGACCAGCCATCTCTGAGTATATTTCCAAACGTTTCTTAACAGATTCTGGTTTATCGTCGTCGCGTTGCATTAATGGTTCACCAGTTACATCATCATAGCCGGGTACCTTGGGTGCATTAAAATCAGTGTTGTAGACTCGTCCACTTGGTGCATGAATCCATCTACCTGTACATAGATAAACATCCATTGAAAAGTCCATTGAATAACTAAAATTCCAACAGGTAACTGACCTTTAACTCTATTGATGATGATATCAAAGGGCACATCGAGGCTGATTACTACTTGGACAGGTGCTATTTTGAATAAGCTCAGTGCCTGTGGTTTGGTCCTTGGGAAGCCATCTAGCAGCCAGCTGCGATCAGCTGACGACAAGCGGTTCAACTCGCCGCCAATAGTTTTCAACATGAGTTCATCAGGCACGAGTTGTCCGTTGGACACGAATCTGGGTAATATTAAACACCAACGGTAGAGCAAATGCAAGCCATAACCCATAATATATGTATGGGCATATCAGTTGTAGGCGGAGTGTTAGCATTTGTGTTGATGGCAATATTGAGTCTACTCTCCATTACTACACTATTACTATCTCAAATAAACTTTAAAATCCCATCTATCTATGCCTGTCAGACATATCCATATTTCATACCTAAATGCAACACAATTTATTTAAGGAACCAGTTATGAGGTTAATGTTTATAGCAAATAAGGATCCATAAACGTTGAAGTATAGAAATTAAAATATATTTATGCATAGTATTATCAAATTATATCGTTTATATACACCTTTAAATATATAATATATCCAAGGACGTCTGCAGGAATTTGCCAAGAGGAGGGCAAAATATTTTCTTTTAAATTTTTTGTCTCACTATCCTATAAGTTTTAAAGTATTTTTGTGACATGTTTTCTTTTATATAGACAAGGAATGTAAAAATATTTATGAATTATACGTAGATAGTTAGTTAAAACTTAATCTTACAGCATTCATTTTAATTAATTGTTATGTAATTTTAAATAATCAAATTCATTTTTTTAATAAATAAAATGTTACTGTTGGTTTTATAATTTTAGCTAATTTAGAAAATTAAATATTTTTAGCTTATTCATTCATTGATACCACAAAGTTGAAAAGTTGAAACTATTGTAGGTATGCCATCTATTAACATTTAATTTTCTTATAAAAAAAGTAAAAACTGCAGTTGATACTGCAATATTGCACTTGGTCCCACCACTACATCTCATAATCTATAAAAGCAATGTTCATAATCAAGTGTAATAAAAATCACTCTAACAAAAAAAAAATTCTTTTTATTTTTAATTTAAAAAAATTTATTTTGGGATATTTTATATTACAATGGTAATGATTGAGGTTTGGAGTACGATGCACTTAACATTATTTTCCAAATCTAGCAACACTTGTTTTATAACATACCTACCTACATTGAATTTTTTGACAATTTAAAATTTTAAGGTCATTTTTTGCATTTCAAGATTTTTGGAGCATTTTGAAGTTTTTTTAAATTTAATTTTAAAATTTGAACATGTTTTTACATGATTTTTAAAATAAATTTATGATCTAAAGTATAAACCTATATGGGTATAGAAAAAAAAATTAACTTTCAGATTAAATAAGTAGGTTGTTAAAATGATAAGTTCTGTCTGTTCATTTAAAAGTTTGAAATGTATGTTATAATCTATCCCAAATTTATATCTTTAATATTAAAATTAAAAATAATTTAGTATTAGGTATTAGGATTGTTAGGGCATTTTTAAGTTTTTTTTAGAACATTAAAATCATCGATAATAATTATGATAATCAACCCAGAAAAAGCCAAGGGGGAAGGGGGGAAACTCCCCCTACTTGCCCCCCCCCCCCTTGCGGACCCCCTTGGCTACATTCCTTAATTATATTAGGCCCATATTTTTGTTAAAATAAATAATGGGTACAGTGTACACTGTGTACTTCAATAATCAATATACATATTAATACCTACCCGTGCAGTATGGCATGGCTATTTAGCCTAAATGGCTTACTTGTTGACTTGTATGCCGAAGTCAGTCTTCTCTCGTATCATTTTCCGCAGTATGTCACCACTGGATATGTGTAGCATGTCAAAAGATTGGACTATCCGTTCTGACACAGTTCCTTTTCCAGAGCCTGGGGCACCCATGATGAGGGCATGCAGTAATCTTTTCGTCGATGACATTTTCTTTTTCTATTTGCTATCTTTCACTCAGACGATTTTTTCTGTTTTGTCGTTGTTTTTCCGGCGATCGTCGGAACAAAATTAACATTTGGCACGCACAATTGTTGTCCTATTGCAACATTTTTGTTACCCGGAAATCTAATTAATTATAATATATCACAGTGTGTATGTATAAAGTATAGATTAAAAGTATAAAGTTTATACTATAAACTATTAACGGATGCCGTTATCGGCTGTAAACGTGAGTACCTGTTGAACATTCGCCCTCCAAAATTATGTTAGCAAACCGATCAGCTGCTACTAAAGAAAAAAATGGTTGATAACGGTGGTTACGTCACAATTATAAAAGATGTCTTGGGTTTCATTAATCAATGAATATTAGATTCTGGGCGCAGGCCATTGGCAGTGCTTGAATTGGTCAAAATTAAGAGACGAGCTCAATCCAACGATTTAAAAACTGCGTTCGAATCGGGAAATTACTCAACACAGACCCATGGGGGGGGGCACTCTACACCTGCCATAATTACATTTTGAATACCACTTTTCAGCAACACATTTTGAATTCCAAATAGGTATAATATATTTTGATAGCAATATCTAGGTAAATTCTACATCTTACATTGTTACAGTAAAAAAAAAATTAATAATCATCTACCTGTTTATTCAATATACTAAATAGATAACAAAACTAATAATGTACAAACAATTTACAATTTTAAAATACTCATAGGTCGCTTAAAAATGAAAATATAATAAAAAGCTTATGAGGTTGTCTAGATAGTAAACTTACCTATAGATTTTATGATAGGTCAATTTTCTCTAATTTTTAAATTAACGGAGCTACAAGTGTTTTGCTGAGCGTAAAATGTTATGCGCTTTTGTAAGCCGGAGGTATAAATAATTTTGATATGAAAAATAGTAAAACTTTTTATATGATTGACTTCAATTGAAATCCACATTTTAATAAAAAATATTTCGGATACTAGTTTGTACCGTCCCCCCGTCCAAGTAAGAAAAAATTGTACGGGTACGCAATTATGCGGGTTATTTCTATGAATGTTAATACAATTTTATTTGCTAGGTAAAAAATCTTGAAAAAGTAATACAAGGCTCCTATATAATATAATTTTACAATGACGTTTGAAAAATATTAAAAATCCATTGTCACAGTTATTTTTTATAAGTATTTAAAGTTCAAATTTGACAAAATGACGAAAATGTGCAAATTATTTTGGGCTAGAAATTCAAAAAAATTTTCCTTTTAATTCCAAGATTTGAACATGTAATACAAGATTGTGCATAAGTTTGTCAAAGGTTTATCAAAAAAAAAATTTCTTTAAGAAAGTAGAAATCAATTTTTATGAGAGTTTGAAGTTTATATTTTTACAACATTCCATATTCACTCGATTTCTCAAGTAGAGATTTTCTTATTTTGTTGTGATTCAATAACAAATAACTATAGATACATGACAATTTCCGAATGTTTCAATATTTTATACACCATATAATTTTGACTCATTTTTAATTATTTAAGGGCAATTTAAAATTTCAATTTTTTTAGTTTTTCTTTTTACAAAAAACAATAAAATTTTACTTGTTTTGCCAAAAAGCGTGAAATTTTAATAAAAGGCTCCAGATATATTGCTACAATAACAGTTGAAAAATATTAAAAATACATTGCAACTCTACTTTTATCATGTCTTTCCAAACGGAGCCGGTAGGCGTAAGGAGCTTCTAGAGCGTTGGGCGGCCGGGCGGCGTATGCGTAAAAATTCAGAATTTGAAAATGCCTTAGCATATAACTTTAAAACGAAGTCTGGCTATCTAATTTTGATTGCACCGTCATTCTCAACTCGTTGAAGTACATAGGTTGCAAAAAAAAAAATTCAATTTTCCTTATATGTGCAGTAAACTAGTGACGAGCGAATTCGCAAAAATCGTAAAATAGTGAACTTCATTAGGCCATAACTTCGAAACTAAGTCCGATCTACAAATTCTGATTGCACCACTGTTCTTCAATAGTTAATATGAGTAAGTTCAAAAAAAAAAAATCGAAGGATTTGCATGGGGTGGTAAAGTGCATTTGTTCCAATATAGGCTCTCTACAGTGACCCACAAATTTTATTTTTTTTTTCATAGTAAGTCGGAAACATAGACATAATATTAATAATATTTATAAATGTGTCTACCATCTATGTTTATAACCTACTATAAAAAAAATAAACAGTTGAGCGACCCGCAAACTTTTTTTTGCTTATAATTAAATTCACTGATTACAGAACAAAACGAACGATCACCAATGATTTGTAAGTACATATTTAAAATATGTGATCTTGCGACACTGTTTCTTATCAATTTTCTTTTGTTTTTGATCTAAATGTCTAAATATGATGATCATATGATCATGAACTTCGAGCAGTTCGAACGAGCTGAATACTGAATAGTGAATATGATCTGAAAATCTGAAATATATCTGATTGTCACTCATGGTCGTATCGCTCTTATCACGTTTGTATTATTTTATTTTAGTAAATGCGAATGATTGTTGAAAATATTTTTCGTGTAAAATTCATCAAATAGATATCAATTATAAATCTTTAGGTATATAGTTTTAATTGTTCATAGGTAATTATAATTAATAAATCATCAAGAAAAATGTCATCAATTGCGCCTCAAAGTGTGATAAAATCCCTTGAAGTGGTTGGTGAAATTTTCCAGGAAGAAAATATAAAAATATGTGTGAAAGAATCTGTTAAAGGTGGCCTTATAACAGGCATTGCAGCTCTTGTTGGTGGATTACTCGGTGGAAAGAGTGGTTTAATTGCTGGTATAGTAAAAACGTTAACAAATATAATTTATATAAATTATGTATAAAAACATTTAATTTTATATTAACCTTTGGTATTCGTAATATTACATGATGTTTTCAACAAATACATGATTTGTAAAATACTAAAATGTTGAATTATTTAATTAACATTTTTTTTTTTTTTTTCATAAAGAAGTTAAATTATATTGTGCTTACTTTTATAAGCTTAAAACATTTTCAGTAGTATCTGTGATAGTTAAATAAAAAAAATGATATGGACATTATTTTAGCCATTTCACTTATAAGTTAGTGTTGCATTTAATATTATTCTTAAAATAATAGCAAATACAATTATATGTAATAAATAATTTTATCATATTATAATAGAATTAAGTAAAAAAAAACATATTATTGTAAGTTATTGAACTAAAGCTGCTAATGGCAGATAATTACAATATAGTTTTATTGTGTGGGCTAAAGTCTACTTTAAAAACCCCTTCACGATGTTCAAAAGACTTGTTTTTTTATGCTAAAAACGATGGTGTAATTTTTTTTCCCTGGAAACTATTATTTTAGAAGTTATAGCCTTCCAAAGTATACGATTTTACGTTTATGCGCATGCGCGTAACGCTACTTGACTGCCACGCGCAGCGCCTATAACAAATTTTTTTTTTTTACGTTTTTTAACAAGTTTTGGGACCTAGTCAGTTTTGGATTAGTAATATTGTGAATTACGTCATTATTAAGGTGAAATATAAACTATAGTTGAGTACCTAATTAGACTAGGTATATTAGCCCAATTAAAATAAATAATAAATAAATACTGTAAAATTTGAAAATTTGAAAATCGTGAGGGGGTTGGTAAAGTAGATTTGTTCCATTGTGTGTGAACCTTGTGTTGTTTTGTTGTAAGTTATGTACAAAATGAATTGTGATTTTAGGTGGAGTAGTGGGTACAGTAGCTGCTTGTTCAATGACTAAAGATTTTAAGTCTCTTCTACAAATTATAAATGAAATGGACTATGAAAAACAGAAAAAACTGTTTGATACCATACAAAATGTAATATCATCAATTGACATGAGTGATGTAGTCAAATTGGTGGTTTTATTAAGCACAAGTCAATCAATAAAACAAGCTGTCATTCATGAAACTATAAACTTTTTGCGCAATGAAATGAGTCTGGAAATATGCCGTAGTTAATAAAAAAATTATTGTTAAATCAATAAATTAATGTATGTATGATTAAGGATCTGTTTATAATGTGAAATTTATGAAAATATAAAATAAATCGCACAATTATTATTTAAAATAAATTACTATTGAATATAGACATGTAGTGTTTTCAATTATTTAAGTTATAATTCTATTGTTGATATTAATATTATACAAATTCTTATTAGGTTATAAACAATTTTATTTCTTTAAATAATTAATCAGACATTGGCTCCTCAACATCGTCTTTTCTTGTTAATATATCAAGGTCTTCATCATCAAATGTCTCATATGACATATCTTCACTCATCGAACCATTATCATCTAAACTATCTGTTAAGTCATTTAATGCAGACATAAGTACGTGCAGTTGTTTTCGTCTCTTATCTAGTTTTTGATTTATTTCATTTTTTGTCATCTGAAATCATATTATTTCAAACATTAGTACAATATTAGCATAGTTATACATTTATTTATGATAATACTTTTAATGCTTGAAGTTCATCTTTTAAATCATCAAGACGTTTAGCAGTATCAGTTCTAGGGGGGTGTTGAATAATAAGCTTGGCTAAAACATCATATTCCATTCGATTTCGTCTTATGGTTTTGGCTTTTTTTAATTCTTCTTTTGCGCGATCTATCTCAGTTTTTGTATTTGTTATGTTATGATCAATTTCACTAGACATATTGTCATACATTAGCATTTCTTCTACATTCATACGTGAAACGGCTTGAGATTTTTTCATTGCATGCTCACATAAATTGAGATGAACCAACATCTTCTCCATGGCCTTTTGACTAAAAATACAATTAATGTCATTCAAGTAATATTTTAAATAAATTAATCTAACTTTTACTAAGATAATAATCAAGTGTAGATAGACTTGCTTAGATAGATAGTATTTCACAGTATACAAATAAGAGGTACCTATCGGGTCAAAATGACATAAAAGTACCTTTCGACGGGATCTGTGTATTTAGTATTACACCATTTTAAATATGTTTTAAGCAAAATATTTAAGCGTCTATCATCGCCGATTCCATCACCATCAATGAGCAGCTTACGCCAAATTACTTCTTCTATGAAAAAAAAAATATATATACTTATAGAGTATTGTACTTTTTTAAGTATTTTCCAAACAATAGAAAAATAAACCACTCAAATAATTTATACTAGCATTGATATACAGAGTGGACCACAGGAATAGGGACAAAAGTAGACGGGTTTTTCTCAACGTTGAATGTGAGTGGGAAGGTCTAGTTTAGCTCATTCGATCCGTCAGATAGTGCCATTTCATTGTCACGGTGGAGCAGTAGAGTGTCGATCACCGTGTGTTTGCGTATGATGCATTTGTGAAAAACAATGAATCGGTAGTTAAGGTGCAGAGCGCATTCAGACTCCGTATTCTCGGGAGTTGTTACAATACGTTTGGGACCATTTTTTTTTTTTTTTATTAACTATCTGTTTGAAAACTATCTACCCACCTCATAATTGTTTTCCCATTGTGAGCAGCTCCACTACTTACGACGCTGAAGTGAAGTCTGAATGCGCGCTGCACCTTAACTACAGATTCATTGTTTTTCACAAACACAAGGTGAACAACACTTCACTGCTCCATAGTGACAACAAAACGGCATTATCTGACGGATCGAATGAGCTAAACTAGACCTTTCTACTCACATTTAATGTTGAGAAAAACCAGTCTACTTTTATCCCTATTCCCGTGGCCCACCCTGTACTTATAAAATTAATTAAGATTTATGTTATTTCTTATTAGTTATAACTTATAAGATACCAGTATAGGTAGTGCTCAGAATCAAGAACATTAAAATACATCTTGGTTACATTTTTACTAAAATACTATAATAATTATAGTATTGCAGTAAAAATTTAAAATTTAAAATTTTGCATTTAACAACCGGCTCAATTATGTAGACCGAAATATAGGTGAATTTAGTGTATGAAAAAAAAAAAGACATTGTTTAAAGGGTGAAGAGCCCTCCTATTGGAGGAACTACATCAATATCTAATTGACTAATTACAAAAAATATTTACCGTCATTCATATTTTATTAAATGTGATCATCAACTGAGATTTAAAATATTTTAAAACCGATTTTAAATTATATTATTATAACACTATTATTGTACTCAACAATGAATTATTAAGGTATAAATTAATAATTGAGTATGCCTTAATTCATGGTATTCACTCAGTCACACTGACTTAGAAGTTAAAAATGTTCATGTATAATAATTAAATAATAATAAAACCTTATGGGTAATCGTAAAATTAAAAACGCTCACATGCTAGTTGCTACCATAATAATTACAATATTACATCAAGTGACAAGTATACTGTATATTTACATAAATAATATTTCCACTATTTTCCACTTGGATATTTAATAATAATAACATTATGTTTGTGAATTGTGTTGATAACTCAACGATTTCTTTGTTGCATAATATAATTTAAGTTGGCAACAGATAAGTGACGCGGGGAATGTTATCATTTTTTTTTGACAAAAATCATAGATTCTGGAATCTGGATGCCGATTGCCGATATGAATTTCATAGCACCATTGTACGGGTTTCAGACGTTCCACTCGTTCCAGTCATAGAATAAAGATTCCAGTCTTCCACTCTTCCAGTACCAGGGGTATAAAACTATAAACTTAGGATATATATTTATATATGAAATAATCTTTGGTTATTATTAGTTATTAGTTTTTAATCATTATTAAATCTGTGACTTCATTCTTTTATTGTATTATTACTTTTGCCACATCAGATATTTGGTAAGTGTTATATTATGTTCAAGATTGTAAGTGAATAATATTTTTATTGAGTGAATCAATGTGACTTAACCTTATATAAGTAGTAACATTTTGGTAAATATTTAAACCTGTTGTTTGTTGGGCTATAGTTAAAACTACTACAGTTAATATATCTTTTATTAAACATATATTTTCACACCTATGTGCTTAAGACTTTATGCCTTAAACCTTTTAATTAGGTCATTATAATTAATTTTATTTTTAAAACCATTCACAGGAAAAAATATAACTAGTTTGATATCCATATTATGAGACTAAACACATTCGTAGAACTGGAGCATCTTAAATTATCAATTGATTACTTCTTCACTATGTAGCTTTTGGTAGTATGTTATTATGATCTCAAATATTATGATCCATGTTTTTTTTTAAATTTATATTATTTCGGAAATGGTTAATAATACCAAGATGCAACTAACTGTGTAATATACTCCAAAGCAATTAATGACTGATTAATAAAGGAACCAGCTAGTATAAGAAAAGCACGTTTTCGGAAAGTAGTTTTGCCATCCAAATAATGATCAAAAAGAAGGTCTTGGTTTCAATAAAATGTTAAATTTATACTCAAATTATAGGTAATTAAATGTTGGTATAATTGTAACCAAATATAAAAACATACTACCTATCTTTAATATTAGTTTTTCAATCTTAGAATAAAGTTTTATTTCTTAAATCACTTTTTAATTGTGACTGGTAGAGTGCATTTTAGCTATATTTTAAAATTATTAAATGACTGACTTGTATAAGATAAATTTACAAAAAAATATACTGGTGGGAAAGCTAGTTAAGAATCATCAAACAATCTGTATTTTTCTTGTATTTATTTATAAATTTAAATTTAATAATTTGTATACGATTGTAAATATTTACTACAATTTTTGTATGTTACAGGTAGTTAATACTTAATATGTCTGAAAGAAAAGTATTAAATAAATACTATCCCCCGGATTTTGATCCTTCAAAAATCCCGCGCATGAAACTTCCAAAAAATAGACAGTATACTGTACGTCTTATGGCACCATTCAACATGCGATGTAAGACATGTGGTGAATACATTTATAAAGGCAAAAAATTTAATGCCCGGAAAGAAGATGCAGAAAATGAAGATTATTTGGGTATACGTATTTACCGGTTTTACATAAAATGCACTAGGTGTTTACAAGAAATATCTTTTAAAACCGACCCACGTAACACAGATTACGAAATAGAAGAAGGAGCTACACGAAATTTTATGGCTCTAAAACTAGCACAAGAACAGGAAAAGAGAGAAGAAGATGCTGAAAAGGAAGAAGAAGCTACCAATCCAATGAAATTATTGGAGAATCGTACTCAGCAATCTAAGCAAGAAATTGAACTTATGGAATCCCTTGAAGAGCTAAGAGATTTAAATAGACGTCAAGGTAATGTGGACTATGATACAATGTTATTAAAGTACAACCCTGCAGAATTAAAAGAGCAAATTAAGCGAATGCAAGAGGAAGAAGATGAAAATACAGTAAAAAATTTGATGGGTATTAAACGGAAAATTAATGAAAATGAAGAGTTAATAGAATCTGATGATAATATGACTAAAAGTAAAATAAAAAATGTAATCACTCCAACAACACAGTCTAGTGTGAAGAAAAAGGTTTCAAAACTCAACCTTTTAAACTTAGTTAAAGTTAATAATGTCTCAAGTACCAACAAGACAAAAGAATCTTGTAATTCATTATCATTAATTGGCAATTATTCCAGTAGTGATGAATCTAATTAAATTGTCTAAAAATAAATTTTCTAAATAATTGAAGGTATAGCTTAAAAGTTTAAATTAAGATATTTTATAATTTAGTGTATACAATTATTATTCTATTTTAAAATATTAGTTAATAATACATTTTCATAAAGTTTAGTAACTTTCCTGTTTACTTTTTTACCTCATTGAATCCTTTATTCGTCTTGTAAAATAATTTGTATATGAACAATTTTAATCTAATATACTAGTTTTTATTACAGAATTTAAAAACCCGTAAAAGAGTGAGGAGTTGTAGTTACACCTCTGCTGTACAGTAGGCGTCGAGTAGGTCACTCAAAGGATGCAGAGTTGCTATGAATTCACTATTTATCACTATTCTCACTATTTTAAAGCTCTTTAAATGTAAATAAGTGTTTAAATTAAATATTCAAACATATTTAGCCAAATTTATAGACTGTACTAAGATTTTAATTTTATAAATACCAAAACTTATGATTTATTTCAGTAAAAATATACCTTGGATATTTTTTTTAAACAATACTAAGATTTTTCTAAGTATCGTAAATAAATTTGGGAAATTATAATTCACTGATTTTTGGGAATAATAATTAGTATCATGAATAGTGAATACCCATGACTACACAGGGAATTTTTAAACATGCGAACTCTAGGCCCCATTCATTATACCATATAATTATTCATTTATTTTAATTATGATTTTTATAAATTTCAAATACTCCTAGGTACCTAAATACCATATTTTCAAATAACTGATTTTTTTTGTACTATCTGTACCGATGCAAACTTCTATTTTTAAATGAGAACCACCTTTTTAGTGAAAATTACTTAGCTGGTGATATTCTTGACATTTATGATGTATCTAAATCAAAATTCTAATACATAGTTTACCAGTTTCTGATTGTAATGTTTTTACTAAGCCACTATGGATAATAATTCTTAAATATAGTTTTATAAGAACATTTTTACAAATTATTTATATTTCTAGATCAATAATAATTAATAATTAGAAACTAATAATAAATTACTAACATTTTACAAATCATCTAAACCCCCAAATCTATTTACCCCATTACTATAATAGACACCGCCAGATTGGGAAGAAATTACTTACTGGACTGTTCGCCTAGACCGGCCCAAATCTCTGATTCAAAATTTCTTTGATCCTGCCCAAATCTTTCAAATTTTTAATTTGAAAACCCCACCTGGTTTATACTGTATAGAATTTGTTACCTCACAAAGTTGACTATTGAACTGTTTAAAGTATTTTTAAACAAAAATAACTTAAAAAAAACACTGTAAAATCATTATTTGACCACCATAATGTGGGTTAGTATAATGTACACATTACATTCTGTCGCTGATACAGCAACGACACCTATATCAAAATTTGACAAATTGAGATTATTGTCATAATTAATAAAATAAATGATTCCGAACATTTATTCATCAGGGGAATTTCCTGTTGGATTAAAATGTTGTATGGCAGAAATTCTCAATCTGCAGTTCCTGTTGTTTCTTGGAGGTCACTAACCAGTTATATAGTTACCAATACATCTTTCTAAGCATCACAAAATCAAATGTAATATCTTTAAAAATGTCGAAGGCCTTATTAGGTTTTGGTAATCCATCTGACATGCAATTGAAAAAATTAAAGTGGAGATATAAGTATTTAAAAGTTGACAGTAAATTCATCAATAAAAAAAACTAGGAGTTACTAAGGTTTAAAATATTAAACAGACCTTAGTTTTAAAATACATTCAAAATTTGTAGTATTTAAAAATTGACTATTCAGAGAAAAAGAAAAGTAACACATTTCTTCATACTATTGAATATTGATATAACTACTTTTGAACATCTTTTCTGAATATGTATACAACAATTATATTAATTGAAAAATAAATGAATCTCAAAGTGTTACCACATTATTTATTTTTAATATATAAAGAGCAAAACGATTTAAGAGTTGGCATTTGGTCCCCTCCTGCGTCCAAAAGTCTGAACAACATTTACGAAACGTCTGTTGTACTGAATACGTCTCTTTGATCGTCCAGTTTTCTTCTTCTTTTTCTTTTCAACTTTCTCAACTTTTGGAGTTTGTCCCTTAACTTTACCAGCACGAGCCAGGGATCCGTGAACTTTGCCTAAATTAATTTATTAAATTTAAAACTTTATATTTTTTAACTTTTAAGTAAAATAAAAATAAAACTATTTACCTCCAAGCAATGGAACAATGAAATCAATATTGAAGTTGTTTAATTCTCCAACAATTTGGTTGTCATTAAGTGGTTGACCTTGATTATACAATGAAATTAAATTTTCTTCAATATCTTCCAAAGCAGCCAATTTGTTCTAATTGTTTGAACAAATAATAAAGTTATTAATTCTGTATTAAAATGTAATTTCAAACACATATTATGCACTATGATAAAATATCAATATATTGATAAATAAATTTATCAAAAAGTATAGTAGATATACAATGCAATTTGTTTACCTAAAGAGATTGATATGGACCAAAATTTAACGATGCTACAACTTTGCTGTGAGTTCAGCTCTATATGCTGAGGTCAAAACATAAAAAATGGATATTCCAAGTACAATACAATACAATTTGGGATAATTTGTTTAAGCAGCTGTGTGGGTAGGTACTAAACAAGTCTTAAGCTTAATTGTATAATATAATACTCAAAAGTTGGGAAAATATTGAATATAAAAATAAAAATAGTGTATATCGATATTAAACCAATGGTTTTGGACAAAACTTTATCAAAAGTCATAACACATGACAACATAATATACTCCGGACATAATAAACACGCAATATTTACCTTGATCTGTGAAATATTCTCAAATCCTTGACATTCCAAAGCATGTACATTTTGACCACGTACAAACAAATGCATTTTGAAGTCGCTAAAATGTTATTACTTATTAAACAAATAGTTAATACTTAATAAAACAAACGTAGATATTCTGGATTGAACCATAGACAAATATGATATAAGAGAGAAAACTGAAAAAACGCGACCATGTCCATATCACTGCCGCAGTGCCGCAATACAATCACTACAGCAATACTCTGCAGTGTTGCCACAACAATAATTATATATAGCAATCCCTAATAATTATTGACGTCATTTTGGGCCACTGAATATGTAAATGGCCGCTTGGCGCTTATAGAAGTGAAAATCTCGATAGGCCGATGCATACCAATCCGGCCCTGAATCCTGATACTGTATATAATATATATATATTGATACTGTCAGACGTGTCAGTGGCGTATTTTGGTGGTGGGATGACGAGGGGCAATTTCCCCGGGGTGTCAAATTCTAAGTCCTCAAAGGGGCGTTAAATTGTTTTCAAAGTGAAGTTATAACAAAAAAAAATATTTATTTTATTGGATTTGTTGAGAAATTATATAAGTGATGCCTGTATTTTTCTAATTATGTCTTTTACATTTCTATACATGTATAATGTATTTTATTATATTGGCATGTTAACAATTAAGAAAAAAAAGCCTAAAATCTAAAATTATAATTTGTTTTATTTGATTAAAAGGTTGACATTTTATTAGGAATAAAAGTGTTCTTTAAATTAGTGGGAGCATAAATGCAATAAGGGGAAAATGTATATTTTGGGTTATCACTTTTAACGGAGAGACAAAGTAAAGTGTCTAATTAGAGGGGGCTTAAAATTGTTTTGTGATAATGAGTAAAAGGAAACAGAAAAAAGTGCGCCAAACGTGTACCTATACCTAGGGCTCAAAAATAGTAAATACGCCTCTGTATACTGAATATAATGTCCAACCTCATTCCCGGACTAATGCCCAGGATACACGAGGCTAGTTTTTCAACCTAGGATAGCAAGGTATAGGTATTCGCAGCTTTGAATAATACTAGGCACTAGCTCAAAAAAATAGAACACAATCCTATTAAACTGGCTTGACATGCTAGCTTACTAGCTTAAAAACAAAGCTAGCTCTGTTTACGTGCACGAATCTAAAATTGTTAGCTTTCTACCTTAGAGCTTACTAGCATATAATTACCTTGCTATCCTAGCTTGAAAAACTAGCCTCGTGTATTCCGGGCATAAGATATAGGTACCTACCTTACCTAAGATATATCTTAATCAATGGTACAATCATAGAGCATAGACTTACTCTGATGGGTACAATATTACAAACCAATAAGGGCGGATTGGGACCCAGTCAGGCGTCAGCCCACTATTGATGAAAAAAAATCGGACCTATACAATTTCAACCTAAACTTTTACAACTTAAATTTTGACTTTTGGTTACTCACCACTCATCATATTAAACAGGTTATAAGTGTTTTAAAAATTAAAATGTATTAGGTAGAGGTAATATTAATATTTGTTTGTTATTTTTATTGTACCTAGGTACTTTAAATAATAAAACATAGATAACATTTAAACTATAAATATGATGATTATATAGATGGATAATTTTTATTAACGTACCTACACAATAATTTAAGAAATAATTAATAATTAATTGTGTAATTAGGTAGGTACCTAACTCATAGTAAACTTATTTACAACTATTTATTTAGTTGTAGGTACTCGAAGGGATCGATCGTATTGGTGATGAACTGATGAATGATGATTTTATTGGGTCATTGGTAAAGCCAAGCCCGGATTAAGGGGGGGGGGGGGTGTCCAGGAGGGGCCATTGCCCCCGGGCCTCAATAGTTAGAATTTATTTAGATTTGTCCATTACTTTTTTCGTTATAGGCTATCTAAACACTACATAAATCATCTAAAAAAAATCGATGTTTATTAAGAGAGGAACAAAGCTTGTAAATTATAATTTATAAATAAAATGATACATTATTTACTATTTATTGCTATTATATGTACCTAATATCTATATATATTTATTATAACAGGTACCTAATATTAAATAATGTATACATTTTTTTTTTTTCGTACAGGCCAAAACGTTGGCCCCTGGGCCTCAAAATGTCTTAATCCGGGCTTGGTAACAGCCATATTTTTCTCTTCATATGTTCAAGTTGAAACAAATTTTTGTAAAATTCTCGGTTTTCCTTAATTTTTAATTTGATTTTCTGGGCGCTTTGACTACTGGAAATTTTAAACTAAATTCACTTTCCCATCGAACCAGATACTGAAGTTGAAAATCGAAGCATTATTTCGACTACTAATTGACACACACATTGTAAACTCAATACACTCATCATTTCACTCAGAATCTCAAATTTCAAAAAAAAACTTAATGTTATTAATTGAAATACTATTTTTAATACTAATTACTATTATTGTTTAAAAAATTTAAAAAATGCCTCAGAACTTCTACGAAATTTGAATAGCATCATTATATAATAAATTCCAAAAAAAGTGCTCTACTGTACAGTTGGTGACAAGTGGGTCGCACTGTATAATGGATCATGGATGGTATTAAATTTGAATTCAATGATATAATATCATTGTATAAGAAAAATGAATCTGAGTGGAGGCGGTATGTATCAGTCTAGGTATAAGACATATTATATACATATCTATGGTATTAAAAAAAAATTGACCTATAGGTAATAAATTCCAAATTAATCATATCACAATATCCATTAGGTACTTATAACGCGTTATACATCAACAACAAACCCTGATACTATCATAAATATATATAGTACACTTTAGAAGTTTCAAGTACCCACGAATAATATTATTCAATCACAACAAAGTAACTAAAATAGTTATATTCTAGGTTTTTTAATATGTAATTTCGTCCAAATTTGAATTTAAAATGTTTGTAAAAAATAAGTGTGTTCATATATTTTTTATATTTTTTGGTTACAGTATGAACTATTTATGAGAACCTTTGTTTTAAATTTGCAATCCTTAGCTATAAAAACTGAACATTTTATAATTTATTAATTACAATGATTGATAATTTTCGAGATTTTGATACATTTTGTCAAAATTCGATCTTTAAATGCTTATAAAAAAAAATTGTGCCTATGTATTTTAAACATTTTTCAATTGCTAATGTAACAATATATCAGGAGCCTTGTATTAAATTTTTACACTTTTTGGCTAACAGATAAAATTTAATTGATATTTATAGAAAAAGAAACTAAAAAAAAGGTGGGTAAGTGGATGTCGCTCTGCTGTACAGTAGGTTACAAGTGGGTCACTGTGTCATGGATGCTATTAAATTTGAATTCAATGATATAATATCATTGTATAAGAAAAACGATTCTGAGCGAAGACGGTATGTCAGTCTAGGTTTAAGATAAATTATATACAAATCTATGGTATTAAAAAAAATTGACCTATAATAAATTCTAAATTAATCATATCACATTATCACAATATCCATTAGGTACTTATAACACGTTATACATCAACATCCCATTCATAACAAACCCTGATACTATCATCGATATATAATAATACACTTTAGAAGTTTCAAGTAGGTACCCCGTACCCACGAATAATATTATATAATCACAACAAAATAACTAGGTTTTTTAATATGAAATTTCGTCCAAATTTGAACATAAAATGACTATAAAAATAAACTGTGATTGTATATTTTTTAGATTTTTCGGTAAGATAATTAACTACTTACGTGGAATCTTGTTTTAAATTTTCAATCCTTAGCTATAAAAACTGAACATTTTATAACTTATTAATTACAATGATTGATAATTTTCGAGATTTTGATAAATTTTGTCAAAATTTGATCTTTAAATGCTTATAAAAAAAAACTGTGCCTATGTATTTTTAATATTTTTCAACTGATATTGTAACAATATATCAGGAGCCTTGTATTAAATTTTTACACTTTTTGGCCCAACAGATAAAACTTTATTGATATTTATAGAAAAAAAAACTAAAAAAAATTGAAAGCTGTAAATGTCCATAAACAGCTCAAAAAGAGTCAAAATATTTTCAAAATTGTATGGTGTATAGGAAATGATAATATAAACATTCAGTGAAATTTTCATGTATCTACAGTTATTCGTTTTTGAATTACAACAAAATAAGGAAATCGCTACATGAGAAATCGAGTGAACATCCAATGTTGTAAAAATTTGAATTTCAGACGCTCATAAAAATTTAATTTGACTGTCCGGTAGAGATTTTTTTATTGATAAAGGTAGACAAACTTATGAGTAATCTTATATTACATTTTCAAATCTTAGATTTAAAAAGAAAAATTTTTACGAATTCTTAACTCAAAATAATTTGCTAATTTTCGTGATTTTTCCATATTTTGTCAATTTTTGAACTTTAAATGCTTATAAAAAAAAATTGTGACTAAGGATTTTTAATATTTTTCATCTGCCTTTGAAACAACATATTAGGAGCCTTCTATTAAATTTTCAAGCTTTCGCAACCAACAAATAAAATTTTATTGATATTTCTAGAAAAAAAACTAAGAAAAAAATGAAAAAGGTGGGCAAGTGGGTGTCGCTCTGCTGTACAGTAGGTTACAAGTGGGTCATTGTATAAGGGATGGTATTAAATTTGAATTCAATGATATAATATCATTGTATAAGAAAAACGATTCTGAGCGGAGACGGTATGTCCTTCTAGGTATAAGACATATTATATACATATCTATGGTAATAAAAAATTGACCTATAACAAATTCCAAATTAATCATATCACAATATCCATTAGGTACTTATAACGCGTTATACACCAACAACAAACCCTGATACTATCATAGATATATATAGTAGATTACTTTAGAAATTTCAAGTACCCACGAATAATATTATACAATCACAACAAAATAACTAAAATCGTAATTCTTGGTTTAAATATGAAATTTTGTCTAAATTTGAAATTAAAATGTCTGTAAAAAATAAGTGTGTTTATATATTTTTTAGATTTTTTGGTTACAGTATGAATT